TTTAATTTAACAAAATAGATAAATTAAATAAGATAATTAAAAAAATTTAATATAAAGATTAAACTTAAATAAAAATGATAAAATAAAAAATAAATTTAACAAAAAACAAAAATAATTTTATAAAAATTGAAACATAAAAAAGAAATTTAAAAGTAAATTTGAAAATATACAAATAAAATATAAAAGCAGAATTTAATCTTAAATAAAGTTAAATAAAGTTAAGAAATCTGAAACATAATATTAAATAATGTAAACATAAAAATCAACAAAATAGAAAAAAACTAAAACATGAAATGATATTCAACAATTATAATAATTAATAAAATATGAATAAAATTTGAACATAAACATTATATAAATAAAAATTTATATATTGAAATCAACAAAATCTGAACAAAATTAGAAAATAAAACAAAAATTTAAAAATCTAAAAATAAAGATAAAATAAATTTAAAAAAATTTAAAACATGTAAAAGAATTTAATATATATTTTAAATGGATAATAAAAATAAACATAAAAAAAAAATACAACACAAATATTAATTGAATTAGAAAAAACATACATAAAAAGTAATTTAATAAAACTATCAATTATATTTAATAAAAATATAAGAAAAATAATAAAAATAAAAGATACAAAAGAGAGATTTTTATAATATATAAATAATGAATAATCATAACAAGGAAATGTAATTATATGTAAAAGTTAATATTAAAAAAAATTTTAGAAAATTAAAAATATAGAAAAAAAGAGTTAACTTTATAATATTAAAATAATATCAAATAAAAAAACTTTAAATAAAACTATAATGTATAATAAGAAAGAAATTTAAAATTGTAATACATAAATAAGGAGTAAAACATATAGAAAACACAAAAGAAGAATTTAATAATGTTAGTTATTATAAACTAAATAAAATTTAAGAAAACTAAAAAACCTATAAAAAAAAGAATATATTATATTAATTAAATCAGAAAACATTATAATTTAACATAATAATTTAAGATAACATATATTTAAGGTTATATTTAAGGCAGATATAAAAGAAACATGTAATATTGTAATATATAAATAATAAATAAATATAAAAACATGAAAAAGGTATGTCGTATGAAAGTAATAAATACTATAAATTAAAAAGGATTTTAAAAAGAGAAGAAAATTTAATCTAAAATTTAAAAAAATCTAAAGAAGATATGAAAAGAGATGAAAAAAGGATTTAACATATATGTTAATTAAATCACAAAATACATGTATAGAAAAATAATTTTAAAGTACAATTGTCATAACAATTAATTAAATTTAATAAAACTGAACATATAAGAGAAGAATTGTATAATATTATAATACATAAATAATGAGTAAAATATATGAAAACATAATAAGAAGAAAATAATAATGTTAGTTATTAATTAACTATTACAAATTATATTATACTATATTAGAAACTAATAATAATAAATAAAACTTGAGAAAATTAAAAGTATAAGAAAAGAAATTAACTTAGAAATTAAAGAAATTTAGAAAAAAATTATAAAAAAAGAGAATTTAATACATTACATTAATTAAATCAGAAAACAGGTATAAAAAAGTAATTTAACATAATATTTAACTATATATAAATTATATTTGTATATATAAAAAAAGCATTTAACATTTTAATACATAAATAATAATAAATATAAAAATTTAAAAAAATATAACATAAAAGTAATAAATACTATAAACTAAAAAAAACAGAAAAATTTAACCTAAAATTTAAAGAAATATCAAAAAACTAAAAACTATAAAAAAAGAATTTAATATAAATTTTAATTGAATCAAAAAATAATTTGTATAATGTATAAAAAAATAATTTGGCATAAGAATTAATTAAATTGTAATAAAGTTACAACATATAAGACAGAATATATATAATACATCAATATTGTAAATAAATATAAATATAAAAAAGAAATATAATATAAAAAATAAATACTATAAACTAAAGAAGATTCTAGAAAATTTAAAGAAATCTGAAAAAATTTATATATTAAAAAAGAATTTAATATAAATATTAACTTAAAAAAACATTATAAAACATACATAAAAAAAAATTTGACATAATTGAATTTTACAAAACTGCAACATATAAAAAAAAATTTAATAATGTAATATATAAATAATGAATAAATATAGAAATGTATAAAACAAAAAATTGAAACATAAGGAAAGAATTTAAATTAAAAATTAAAGAAATTTACAAAAAGAAATTTATCCTGATAATTAAATAAATCTGACAAATCTGTAATATATAATATTGAAGAATTTAACTTATTTATTATTGTTATAATAAATATAAATAAATAAAACTTAAGAAAAAAACAAAAGATAAAATAAAAAGTAATTATTCTAAATTAGAAAAAATTAAGATCAAGAATTTAAATTAAAAAAAAAACTTCAAGTAATCTAAAAAAACTAAAATGGATTTAACACAAATGTAATTAAATTGGAAAAGATATATATATAAAAAAAAAAATTTATGATAACAATTAACTAATTTTGGTAAAAATTGCAAAAGAAATTATAAAAGAAAAGTAACTAATAAATGTAAAACATAAAAAAATGCAATATAAAAATAAACAAAATTAAAAAAAAATGAAAAATATGAAAAATATATAATGTAAAAATAAATATATTCAAAAAATCTAAAAATGAAAGAAGATTAAAATTTTAAATTGAAAATTAAAAATTAAAAATTAAATAAAATTAATAAATTAAATAAAAATTGAAAAAATAATTAAATAAATTAGAAAAATTGGAAATCAAAAAATTATAGGTTATAAATTAGTAACTAAATTAGATTAAAAATTAACAATTTAAATGTTATACATTTTTAAAATTGTTGTTTAAACATCTAAATCTAAAAATTAAATAAAAAAAATTTAATTGTTAGGAATTAATATTATAAAAATAAAAACTATGTTTTCAAACATATTAACATATTATAAATTAATTGCAATTAATATATATATCATATAAATGTTAAATAAAAAATAATTTTAAATTCAATTTGTTTTTATATAAAATATAATCAATTAATAATAATCAATAACAACAACATACATAACATCAATAGAATAATATAATATTATAAAAAAAATAATTTTTCTATATTATTTTGATTTTTTAGATTTAATTTAATTAATTTCTATATTAAATTTCTATTATATTTCAATTTTTATAGGAAAATTTTAAAATTGAAATTGCATCCATATTTTTGTAATGTTATTATAAAATAATTAATAAATTTTATACTATGTAAAAATTGTATACAAATTTAAAAAATTTTATACAATATAAATATGAAATTTTGAAATATTGAAAATCCGAAATAAAAATTATGTTGCAGATAAATATTCTTTCTTCAAGATAAAATTTATGCTTAATTATTATTTTATTTCAATTTAATGAATTAATATATTATCAATTAATATAACTCTATATATTTTGATTTTTTTACAGTAATTAATTAATTATTAGTTTTTCTTTAAAGACAGAAATGTTTCAATTTGGGAACTATAAAGAAATAATAAAGTTGAATTTTTTTTTATTGTGTACAATTTACATTTAAAAATTATTATGTAATACTGTCTTATATGTTGAATTTTCGCGCGAATTTAAAATAAGGAATCGTATAGTTCTAGCCAATCAGAAAGCTATTAAAATTTAGTCTCATTATGAATCTATGCGCATTGTAATGCGCATGGCGTCAGTCTACAGTTGAAAATCGTGGTGACGGGTCACGTTTTACCAGTGAAGTGTATAATTATAAAAAATTTGTTATTAATTATTAATTCTTAAACTTAATACATGTTTGTTTAATCATATTATATCAGAATTAAACAATACTTTGAACTTTTGTCGATTTTGACCAGTTTGAAGACGAAAAGTGAAATAATTTTTTTACATATGGCGATTAAAATATAATCTGACGGTTTTTATGCAAATATGGTAAGTTTTTATTTATTTTTAATAAAAACATAGTTACTATAAATTTCTTTTATCTTTTTATTCATTCTGAAATAGAAGTAATAAATTTTCATTGTGATCAATTCATGTATTTTACATTATATTTTACATTTTTTCCTAAATTTTTTTCTAATTTATCTGTATGTTTAATTCTTGTATTATTTTTATATATTTTTTTTGGTTTTTTAAGATTTCAAAATCAAAAATATTTTTCATAATTTAGTCATTTCAAGAAATTAATGGCGTTTGTGTCATGCTCGACATTTCGATTTATCGAACTGAATTGAATATTTCCTTTCCCTTTTCGATTTATAATTCAATATATCGAAATTGCTATGCAAAGTATCATTTTATTATGGAAACTTGTGATTCTTTGTTTAGTGCTATGATCTTTTTATTTTATTGTAATATTTATTTTATAGTTATTTTTTTATTTTTTATTATTATTTTATTAATACACATTTATTCGATTATTTATTGAATATTTTTATAATTGATACTTTTTTGAAGAATAATTTATTACTTTTTTTTCATTCATTTATTTGACTCTTATTATGAACTTCTAAAATAGGATTTGAATTATATTATTGTTTTATTTTATACAATTTACGAATTTAATCTTATATATTTTATATATTTATTTTAAAGATTTAATTTTTTTTTTTTGCACAGATAAGAAGCCAATTGCTAAGATTACTTTGAGCAAGAAAAAGGATTTTCAATATGAGTGCCATGATGATAATTCATATTTTACGAGGAAAAGGTAAAGTTTAAATTTCTATATTAAAAAAGTGATATATATTTTTTTTATTGAATTATTGATATAGTATTTATATATTTTTTGTAAATAAATAATTCATAATTATTATATTGAAAATATCAAGTTAATAGAAGAAAAGATTTCGAAATAATTCATTTTTTATTTATATATTTCTTATGAATTTTCTATATTTTGAACATATTTTCGACTATTTTTATAGAATGTTATTAATTTAAATAATGAACATTCACAGTATAATTCTTTTAAAAATAGTAATATTTTTTTAAATAAGTATTGGATAGGAAAGATAAAAAAAATTTGAATATATATATTTAAATTTCTTTTATTCTAGCCATTAAAAAATTTAAATTTTTAAATTTTAATTCAAAAATATCAATTTTTATTATTATTCTAGTTTATTAGAATTTCAATCTTTAACATTATATTGATAAATTATAATATTCCACTTTTTGTTATAGATATTTTCCAGTTTTCACAATGATTTCCCATGAACAATAATAAGAAAATTCTTCTCATCAAATGGTGAGTCACATACATTTCTGTTCCTCCGGTCATTCAATCATGTCATAGAATGAAGGATCTAAATCGATATGAATGACTGGTTGTATAAATAGAATTTTGCACGAGCATAGTGACCACGGGTATTTATTTTACTCGTGAATAGTAACATTTCTTTTTTTCTGTATTTTATTTATTAGATTAGGATAGGTCTTCTTGTATCGCATTTTTTAATTATAAACCAAGTATGATTTGAAATATAAATATTTTATTTTTTTTTATAAAAATGTACTAAATCTTATATACAAGAAGACATTACGCGACAGGTAGATTTTTGAATCAGAGCAACAAGTTGTGAACATTATTTTTGCATTTTCGAAAATTTGCTTTGATGAAAGAATCGCCTGAGGTTATTTTTTAAAATCAATTACTCATTGTCATGAATAAATTCTCATAAATGATTTCTTTGATATCCTTATTTAATTAAAATTAATATTTAGTAATTTATTAAATATGTAAAGTAAATTTATTACTGTTTAAAATAAAAGTAAATAAATTTTACAAAGAAGTATTAATCCGTTAAATAAAAAATAAATAATTTTTTTTTAGCTCAGGATTTTCAGGTTTAACACTTTGCATGTCTGTTGCCAGAATCTCACTCTTGTGCCCAGGTGCTACTTGGGTGAGAGAGAGGCAATGGACATGATGACCTTAGTTCATAAGCTAATAAAAACTTTTTAGCGATTGACAATGCGTTAGCGTATCGTGCACGACGTATTTTCCACAT